CCACCCTCCCCCCCACCAGGCTCACCTGTGAACATCAGGGCCGTGGTCCCGGCCAGCGCCATGGTCCCCAGGCCCAGGGCGTTGGAGAGAAGGCCCAGCTCGGCCACCCAGGCGTCTGGCAGGCACCTCTGCAGCAGCCGCAGCCCCGCCAGGCTGCTCAGGTAGGTCAGGTAGTTGGCGGCCGACCCGTAGCCAATCAGCTCCGACCGCCAGCAGAGCGGGGGACCCAGTTCGTACAGCACCAGGATCTCCCGGGCCCCAAAGTGCACCGTCACCACCACGAAGAAGGCCAGTGAGTAGAGGAGCCGCTGGCACCACGCCAGGCCCCGGGCAGGGCCAGCGTACAGCCGGTACACAGCCCCGTAATGGTGCAGTGTGAGGAGCCGCCGCCGCGGCTGCCTGGGCACCACCGACTCCTGCAGGGCAAAGGCCGCATAGAGGGCTGCGGCGAGGCTGGCCGCGAAGACCAGCCAGAAGGGTGCCACGTAGCCCTGCGCCCTGCGCCACGGCCCGCCCAGCACGCTGGCCACCATGCCTGCCAGGCCCAGGCAGGCCTCCAGGACGGCCACGCGGAACGTGCGCCCCTTCTGGTCACTGACGTCGGCCACATAGGCAAAGCAGCCGGCGAGGACCAGGTTGTAGTCGCCGGAGAGGCCGCTCAGCACCCGGCCCACCAAGAGGTACCCCACGGGCAGCTCGGCGTACATGACCACCAGGTAGATGGCGGCCTGCAGGGCCATGCCCAGCGTGGGCAGGATCAGCACCGGCCGGCGCCCCACGCTGTCACTCCAAGGGCCAAAGAGGGTCACCGAGAAGAGCCCCACAAAGAAGCCGGCCAGGTTGAGGTAGAGGTTCCAGTGGGCCACCAGAGTCTCCAGCTCCTGGGAAGACAGGACCAGAGTCAGAAGGGGCCTCGGAGGTCTTCTAGCCTGACCCCCTGCTCAAGCCGGAGAGAAAACACTCCTGATTGCAATCTATGCCCCGAACGACAGTCAAGAAGAATTTTATAAAAAATTACATATGAAAATAATTGAACTGGACTATGCTGATATAGTTATGATGGGAGATTTTAATGGAATTGTAGACAACAACAAAGCAAAACAGAAAGACTCTCCCTAAATCTTTTTTTTAAATGGTCGATGAAATAAACTTAAAAGATACATGGAGAGAAAGAAATGCTAAAACCAAACAATACACCTTTTACTCAAATAGACATTTATCATGGTCCAGAATAGATTTGATATGGATGTCAACAGAATTGTTAACTAATATTCAAGAAATAAATATTGAAACAAGTAGTTGGGCAGATCACAATCCAACGACAATTAAATGGAAAGGACAAAGAAGATCATCTAGATGGACGTTAAATAATACTATTTTAAAGGAAAAAGATTTCACACAGTGGATGGAGAAAGAACTGGCTTTTTTCTTTAGAGAAAACAAAAAAGAAGATAGGTCAATCCAGAATGTATGGGAAATGTCCTCAGACACCTGGCTCATATTACCATATGTGGTGGACTTGTGCGGATGCTAAAAAATACTGGACTAAAATCCACACGTGGTTGGAAAAAAATGACAAAAAAATATATAGATTTGAAACCAGACATATTTTTATTGGGAATTTTACCTGAAATATATAGTAAAGGCTTGAAATACCTGATTGTAAATGTATTAACAGCGGCTAGGATTGTATTTGCTAAAAACTGGAAAAATGAGAAAACACCATCGCAGGAGGAAATCATTAAGAAAATATTGGAATGTGCTGAAATGAGTAGATTGACATTTGAAATTAGAGAACAAGAGGATAAACAATTTTATAAAATATGGGATCTATTCTATCCATGGTTAGACAATAAAATATTCCCCAGGCAGCAGAGCTGGTTGGCCCTGGGATTCTGGGAGTTGAAGTCCACCGGGCTTAAAGGGGCCCAGGTGGGAGACCCCGGCCTCGTCCGTCTAACCTTACGAGGCTTACAAAGTGTCCCTTTGAAGATGAGCTTTCCTTGTAATCTTGGTCAGGATATTGGCAGCTACGGGAAGTCCTCGACTTACACCACTTTGGTTAGTGACAATTCAATTGCAAAGGCATTGAGAAAAGCGACTTAGGGCCGTTTTTCACACTTAAATCCACATAGTCACAGGATCAGAATTCAGGCGCTTGGCAAGTGACTCGTATTTATGACCCAGGGGTGTGTGTCACCCTTTTGCATCCATCTGACAAGCCGAGTCAAGGGGGGGGAGCCAGATTAGCTCAACAACCATGTGACTCACTTAACGACCACAGCGAGTCACTTCCGCACAGTGGCAAGGAAGGTCGTAAAATGGGGCAAAAGCCAAAAATCTCACTGAACAACAAAAATCGGGGGGTGGGGAAGGGGGTGTTGTGGTCGTTAAGTCGAGGATTCCGTGTCCCTGGAAAGGAGGGAGCAGCCTCAGGGCCCCGGAAGGAGGCGGAGGAAGGGGAAGGAGGACGGCCGTCTCGGCCTGCCCCACCTGCGCCCAGCAACACAGCCGCCCTCAGGGACCAGAGTCCACCGGCAGAAGCAGATGCAGGACTCTAGGTGTGGCCTTACTCGGGCTTAGTAGAGTGATATTAGTACCTCCCTTGATCTCGACTGTATCCCTCCGTTAATGCAATTTAGGATTGCATTGGCTTTTTTGGCGGCAGCTGCACCGGCTGGCTCCTATTTAGCTGGTTGTCCACTAAGACTCTGAGATCCCCCTCCCAGTTCCTGCTATTGAGCCTGGTTTTCACCCAGTCTATTATAGGTGTCATTTTGGTTTTTCTTGCCTAAGTGGAGGACTTGACTTTTCTCTACACTGAATTTCACTTTGTTAGATAGGGCCCGGGGTTCGAGTCTGTCGAGATCCGTCTGGGTCTCCAGCCTGTTTTCCTGGGTGTTGGCTGTTCCTGCTGAAATATGAAGTACGAAAAGTACGAAAAAACAGGAAACGCTGATGACAGGACAATGAAGGATTAAGCAAAGAGGAGAAACTGTATCTGGGCCAGATAATAATATCAAAGGACAAGAAGTTCTGCCCCGAAAGGAAGAGAATTCTGGAGCCCCTTTTGGTGGGGTCAAATCGGCAGGTTCCCCTAGCCTGGGAAAGAGACCCACCATCGACCGCCGCAATCTGACCCTCGGCCAAGGCAGAATCTGGGAGGCTGAAGCAACGCGGCCATCAGGGACCCCGAGATAAACCAGCATTGTTTGTCCCAAGAGAGTTGGAAGACGTCCCCCCTCCCACTGTGCCATCCAAGGCTCCCCTCGGAGGGGGCTCGGGGGCCTGGGAGCCGGAAGGCTGCCAAACAAACCCTTTTTTTAAATTGCGGGGTGACTTTTCCTGGGGGCCTTCGCAGCAGCGTTTGCCCAGCAAGACCCAAAAGGCTCCTCAGAGCCACCTAAAAAAAAAAGGGGGGGGTCCCCCAAACTTGGCCCCTTTAAGACTGGTGGACTTCAACTCCCAGAATTCTCCAGGCTGGAGAAGTCCACACACACCTTAAAGTGGCCAAGTTCGGAGACCTCTGACCTAACACAAGGATCCCCGAGCTAAATGAACAACAACAGAGGTAGCTTCTCTCTGAGCATGGAGGCTCCATTCTTTGGGGGGGGGGCTAATAACCCCCAAAGGCTTTCAAGTAAAAGCCCCAGGAGGGAGGGAGGGGGACCCCCCGCCCCACTTGGCCACCCCACAGCCTCCCCTTTTCTCTGAAGCAGCAGCAGAAGAACCGAATCGGAAGGGACCTTGGAGGTCTTCTAGTCCAACCCCGGCTCAGGCAGGAGAGACACCCCCACCGCGCACGTCCTTTCAAAGAAATGAGCAGGCGGGGCGCCCGGTGGGCGGAGGCGGCGAGGGGAGCCTTTATTCCCCCCCCCCGGGCTCCCTGGCCGGCCCTTCTCGGCCCCATCGCGGCGCTGCAGCAGCCTGGCCAGCGCGGCGGACGCACCTGGGAGCCGGCGCCGGGGCCGGTGTGGTTGGGGCAGCCGGCGGGCTCTGCTGCGGGGCGGGAGCCGTTCCCTCCGGCCAGCCGGTCCCAGAGCAGCTGCGTGCTGAGCGGCGCCTGCAGGGCCAGGGCCAGCGTGGCCAGGAGCAGCACCGGCTCCACGGCGCGCAGGCGGCGGCAGGAGGGCGGGCGGGGGGCGCCCTGCGACGGGCAGCCCGCGGGGGTCTCCGCTGCCACCTCGGCCATGGCGCCCGATGGGCGGAGCGAAGAGGCGGGGCTCTGGGCGGAGCCTGGAGGGAGGGGGCGGGGCGGGGCGGTCTCTGCTGCGGACTCCGCCCCGGGGCTGCCGGAGCGGCGCCGGGGGGGGTCTCCCACCTGGGCCAACCTGCTGGCTGGGGGCTTCTGGGAGTTGAAGTCCGCCAAGGCTTCCAGCTGCCGTGCTCGGAATGGGGGCGCCTGCCTTGCGCCGAGTTGCGAGGACCCCGGAGAAGGGGAAGCCCGAGATCCTCCAGCGTTTCGGGTTCGGTGGGAAAGGGAAAGTGTTCGGGTAGACGAGCAAAGCTGCCAAGCGAGCCTGCCCGTTGGATCCGGATCCTGTGGTTTCCCGTCTCCTGGACCCCAGGCTGCGAGACTAAAAGGCTGTTTGGCAGCAGAAGGCATGCTGACAGCGTTGGAAGGGACCTCAGAGGTCTTCTAGTCCAGCCCCCTGCTCAAGCAGGAGACCCGCCTAGGCCATCTCAGGCAAGTGCCCAAGGCCAGACACCCTTACCCCGTCCCACCACTTGAGACTGTCAAGAAGAGACTGGACTCCCACCTGTCAGAAGTGGGTCTCCTGCTTGGGCAGGGGGGTGGGCTAGATGACCTCTAAGGTCCCTTCCAACTCTGATGATTTGTGATCTGTTACCATTCCAGACAGGTGGCTGTCCAGTCTCTCCTTGAAAACCTCCCGCGATGGAGCCCCCCGCAGCGTCTGGAGGCCGGCTGTTCTTCCATTCATCCGTATCCAGGAAGTGTTTCCTTCCTTCCAGGTTGAGTCTGTCCATGCAGCGTTTTTCGTCCTGCCTTCAGATGCTTTGGAGAATACAGTAGATGGAAAATTACCCCCCCACTGCTGCCCCCCACTCTTTGTGGCCTCCTTATCCCTTAGGTAAGAGAGTTGGGACGGAGGGGTCTCCCTCTCTGCGCCCTCCACAAGAGAGAGGGAATGCAGGTTGGGGGCATTCCCACAAGGCGTCTGGCTTGGCCACAGCTCCCAAGCAGACGCTAGAGTGCGTGCAAGGTGCGTGCTCAGCCGTCCCCTTCTGCTCCCAGGCTCCACCAAGGAAGCACAGGAGTTTCTGGAAGTCCAAGTCTCTCTTGGCCCCAAAGTCCTGGCTGCCTGCCATGGCCTGCCAAGGGGTGGACTGGCACGATGGCTCCTTCCCCGCCCGAAATGGCTCCGCTTGGGGTCCTGCCTGGGGATGCATCTCTGAGGGGACGGCTTCCCTGCAGACATTGTGCAGCTCAGTTGCTGGAGGTTTTCAAGAAAAGATACCGATTGAAAGCCAGAAATATTTTGGTTAGGCATTTTGCTGGAAAAAAAAAACACAATAAAGGGAATGTATATTTAATTTTACATGTTTTCACAGCAGCGAGAATTGTATTTGCACAACGTTGGAAAAATGAGGGAACGCCTTCAGGTGAAAATATAATGAAAAAAATATTAGAGTATGCGGAAATGGATAGGTCCACATTAAAGATAAAGGATAAAGAAGTCACAGAATATTTTTTTAACGTGGGATCAATGGTTAGATTATAAAAGTAGAAGTTAGAAGTGGGAAGGATATTATTATGTATAAGTAAAGAATATAATGATGATTTATATGTAAAATGACCCAGACAATACACTGTTTATTGAATACTTATGCAAGTTAAAGAAAAATGTATAAATGTATTTATTTATTTTTTTGAAAAAGAAAACACTGGGGAACCAGTCCGGGAGTTGAAGCCCACGAGTCATAAAGTGGCCGAGGTTGGAGCCCCCCAAAGCCCTGGGCTACAAGGTCCTTTCCTGGCAACCTGGAGGCCGCCAGACCTGGACTGGAGACTGAAGCTGAACCAGGGCAAAGCGGAGTGACTGCTGACCCACTGCGAGCCACTGTTGCCTCTTGAGAAAGCAGCCGCCACGGGTTCAATGCCCTCCTGGATGCGATCCTCTCACTCAAGGGGAAACCGAAGGGCTCGAGTGCCAATTGTGGCCTTAACTGGGGCAGAGGGACGATGGCAGGCTTAGTCATGCCCTCGCCTTTACCCTAGATTAGACTACTGTAAAATGTTCTACGTGGAGCTGCCCTTGGAGACTACCACAGTTATTGCAGAAAGCAGTTCCCTGAACTTAAAACACCCCAATCCTACATGGGCGGCCTGCGGGTCTCCAGGGACAATTCATAGTCCTGGTTTTGACTTCTAATAATCTACATTAAATAATTCCTCATTTCCGTGATGTGAGGAAATCCCCAGAAACTTGACTTGCCGGCTGGATCCGCCAGATCTCGAGCCAGTTGGCTGTGGTTTCTGCCGAAGAAGCCCTGGCTGGCACTGGGCCGCAGTTGAGGCCTCTCCCCCTCCCCTCACGTGGGCAATGAACCCAGCCGGGGCTATTTACAACAGTAATTGTGGCTCGTAAAAACAAATTGTCTCTGGTTGCCGTTATCAGTTCTGAAGAAAAAGTGGAAGGCTGAGCAAAGGCTGGTTTCCTTGAGATGGTTGGCCCAGTGCCCGTCCTCAGACTCTGATGCCAGGTGCTGATGCCACAGGAAATGGGATGCAGCTTCCTGGTGGTGTGAAATCACAGCCCAATCAGGAATCAGAAGGGACCTTGGAGGTCTTCTAGTCCAGCCCCCTGCTCAAGCAGGAGAGTCTGCACCATTTCAGATAAATGACTGTCTAGTCTCTTCTAAAAAAAACCTCCAGAATGGATTGTATTGAGAAATAAAAGATTATTGACTTAGGAGGGACATTGTTTGCAACTGGGCTGGCATGCCTTCTTGTGGTTTGGGAAAAATAAAATACATGGTTACTTTCAAAGGCACTATATTAGGAGTGCATTATTGTTAGCATGGGAGAAAATTAGAGAGCAGCACTATTTGAGGATACCAGTCTGGCTCTCGACAATGGAAGCACTGGTTCACCCAAATGTTCTTAACATAGAAAATAAAATGAGAAGGGGGAACTCAAAAATAAACAAGAATTGAGTGATCGAGGGATTGATTTGACACAGTATGCACAACTGCAGCAGGGGTGGGATTCTATCGGTTTGCACCAGTTCTATAGAACCGGTTGTTAACATCACTGGTAGTTCTTAGAACCGGTAAAACTGGTTCTGGCTCGCCCTTCCCCTCTGCGCCGCTCCTACAGACCAAAAACTGGGTTTTTTTACTGTGCATGCATGACATTTCTCAAGCATGTGCAGCAATCCTTGCCTCATTCTCTCCCGCCCGCCCCACCTCACCTCTACTTATAGCGCATGTGCGCTACCTACAAAATTTTTCCCACCTGGCAGCATCGCTCACAACAGCAGCAGCAGCAGCACCAGCCAGCCATCGCTGCCTGCCTTCTGCCGCCCTGCTGGGGCAAGTCACAAGCCCCGGCCGCCACTGCCGCTAACCACCCTTGCCCGCCCAGCCTGCCTACCCCGGCCTCCAAAGGCGCGGATCGGTAAGAATGACCCTGTCACCTACCTGCTGCCGCCAGCCCCGGTTGAGTGCTGACTCCCGGGACGCCCACCGCCCTCGCCGAAGCTCCCTGCCTCACCCACCGCCATCTTCCCTCAGCCTCCCTTGTTGCTGCCTTGCCTTCCCACCGCCGATTGGTGAGTGAGGAGGCAAAGCAGCAAGCCCCGCCACCGCCAGTCCCCTACCTGCTCCTGCCGCCACCGCCGCCACCAGCCCTGGTCGAGTGCCGGCTCCCGGCCTGGCCTGTCCTCGCCGCAGCAAGCTTGAAGACTGAGGAGGATCCCAGCGTAGCTGGCCAGCCAAGTTGCCTGCCTCATTATTGGTAAGTTGCTTTTTTATTTATGTATTTTATTCATTTTTTTAGCATCTTTTTGTTTTTATTAATCATAAGAACAAAACAGATACTAAATAAATAGATAAATACATAAATAAATAAAAAAGCAACTTACAAAAAATGAGGCAGGCAACTTCTTGTTACATTGTTGTTGTTATACATTATCTGTTTCTGCTTAAATCAATATATAGCAACATCAGTGTAACAAGAAGTTGCCCGCATACATAAATGGATTTTTTTTAAATAAAAGTTTTTTATTTTTTTTAAACAAACAAAACAAACATAAAACATAAACCATCTTCAGTTACATACAGTGTGTCAGTTGGTACAAATCACTCTCTGCAGTCTTTCCCTTCCAATTTGCATTAATCCTTATATCATAAATCCACTATATTTTATATTATTACTATTATTAATTATTTACTAGACTTTACTATTACATCATTTTATGCGAGCAAATCACCATTTTTACTTAATCTACTTCAGTGTTCATTTCATCATCACCAATCTATTCTATAATACTTTACCTCTGTAATTCTATTATACTTATAAAGTATTATAAAATATTTCATAAATGAAAAAGCAAAGCAGAAACAAATATCAACAGGTACGGCTGTGTAACAGAAAAATTATTTAAATTGTATTGGCTTATTTCTAATTTTGTTAATTATATCAACATGTTTATAATTATCAACCTTCTGTATTTAATTCATACATAGCAATGATCATTCTCCACCTAATTTCTACCTGTTATCTCTATCCATTTCTGCACATTGTAATTTTTTAATTTCATTTTCATCTATGGGGATCTCTTCATTTTTCTACTGTTGTGCAAACATTATTCTAGCCACTGTTAACACATGTAACATTAAATATGTATTGTACTCCTTTTATCTGTGTGGGTGCCAACAAAAATATTTCTGGTTTTAAAAATTAAATCTATTTGTTGCTTTACCATTTTTGCTAACCGTGACACTACATCCTCTTGAATAGCTACATTAGCAGAGCCCAATACTGAATTCATATATTTCCAGTTTTTTAAACTGAGGAATGAATTTCAGAAAAAGAATTCAATATTGCTCTGTAAATGTGCCTATCAATTCCATTCGTAATCTAACTTCTTAGATGATTTTGTACTATTATCTTTTTTTTTTTTGTACTCTATATATCTACACAAGGCTGTAAAAAGCTTCAGTACATTTTTAAGGTGCCTTCTAGAAAGGTTAGGCAACCAAACGTGGCTTCCCCTGCTATAGAGAGAGCACCCCACCCTGGACTGTTGGTCCAGGTAAGTCGTCTTGGCTAGGAAAGATTTTTGTGCCACTACTGGCACAAAATAACAAACTCCCTTGGTTTGTTAATAATATTTCCATTTTAAGTGTTTCTTTTTCAATTAATGAATTGTAATTACGAAAATATCAGCCATTCTTTTATATACACAGTGCAACATCTTTTTTTTATAGACTGTCATTTTTAAATCCACTTTCAGTTCCGTCTCAGTCTTGTCTGGTGAAACTTGTTCCTCTTCCATAACATCTTTTAAACACTAACTAGCTATAGTGTCAGGGACTCTTAAAAGTAACGGAATATTACTGATCTCCGTTCCTTGCCTG